CATTGCTAGAAACAGGGAAAACAATTAGGAAATGTGAGGCCCCAGGGGCAAAAAACAGAGGAAAATGCCTACCCCTGAGTCATAAAACAGATAATTTAACTTGTAAATGCTATGATTTTTTTATTTTAAAGGTCTTTTATAAAGTAAACAATAACTGTGCTAGGAAGTTATGTAAAAATCAGATGTAAGCAGTCATTTCAATCAAACTTTTAGTGAATTTATGCACCAGACTGATATCTTCATAAATACAACTTTTGCAAATATGCCTTTGTTTAAACACTTCTAGGACATATATTAACTAACTTATGTTAGATATATGGTTAGGGATGATACTGTTGTGACAAGAATTCTAAACTGACCATTTGAGGCAGAAATTGTGAACTTTCATTGACAAATAGGCATACAGTAAGGTGTGGACTGGAGACACAGGCAGGATTGGATACTTTGTATAATCTTGAATGTTGGAATGCTTAACTACTAAACAAAACATTTATAGTATTCTAAAATGCTTTCAATTTGTTATCAGAATAGTTTCAAACAGGTTTTAGACAGTTCATGTCAGAAAACATGCATATAGGGTAAGCTGGCAATAATTAGAGTCTTGTTTTCAAAATCTTTAAAAAATTGAAACAGGGGTAGGGGTATAAAATGTACTGTAAAAGGAGACTTAGAGTATATGCAGTGATTTCTTTAAGGCTATAATTCTGATAAATAAGTATTGTTGTGAGAAAAAGTGTTTTTAGAGAGTTTTCTATTTGAATAAATGTTTGTATAGGTTGCACTTTGTAAATACAGCTGTTTCTCAAACCACGCCTCTTTTGGGGAGATATTTAATATTCATAGGTATGTTAATTTGTTAACGTACTGGTTCCCATTGATGATCTCTGTGTTTCATCTCATAGAGACATCACTTGGGAATGTAACCAGTATAGATAAACATGGTAGCGGCTAAATTTTAATTCTTAGGAGGTCCAAAAATGGAGGTAAGGGTAGTATAGAATTTTAGTATAAGTTTAAACTCTTAGAAGTTCAGGGCATATAAATGTTGAAAATATGCCGCACAGCCCTATATTTTGACCTTTGAATAAAATAGTAGTGCATATAAACTTTCCGTTCTGGGATATTATTTTTCACGAAACTTCATAGTAAAAGTGTCACAGTTTTAGCCGCAAAGGGAGTTCCTATAGGAAATTGCATTGTCTGTATTTACAGAATTGCAACCTAAAGAAAATCATGTATATAAGACTTAAATATCAATCAGTACACATCCAACATCCAATGGATTTAGTGTAAAGACAGCATTTACAGTCAGACAAAAACATGACCTTGTGCAATGCCAAAATAAAGGATCGACAGATTGTAGTAATGTCAAAGTGCATATGTGTATAACAAAACTATTAGTATGATTTTATTTTACTGATAACAAAATCAATATTTATACCAATTAAAACAATATTCAAAGATCTAATTATAGTGTTGAATTGGTAACCTTTTAGAATAAGTTTATTTAAAGGATTGATAAGTTTACCCGGATCGTATATAAATTTCCGGGCTCGGTAAGCAACATTATCCTTAAATTTAGGGTGTGCTATTCCGTCTGAAATAAGTTTTTTACAGGTTCAGCCAAATTTGTAACCAAATCTTTGTATCTATTGAAGAATTAAGAAAAGGTTTTAATAATTTGTGGTAACGAAATCCCTTACTTAATAATATACCAGTAATACATAGATTACGCTCATTGAAATCCAAAACGTTACTACAGAAACGGGCATATCGAACGATTTGGGATATTTAAACACCGTACGATGGTGCCAGAAGAACATCACCGTCCGAAAAAGGAAAATTAACAATAGGGAAAGAAAAATCATCCTTTTTGTCGTTAATTTTTGTGAAGAGTTATGTTGATTTCTGATTGTTTTCGTTGATTGCTACTATTTCGACTCACTAAATAATTCAAAATTTGGTGACTATGTTGAACGCATCTATTCCATCGAACTTCAGACAAAGGATACAACAGCTACAGTTAAGTCGGCCTCACATCTTGACTTACATCTACAAATTGACAATAATGGTCGGTTGAAAACAAAGCTTGACGACAAAAGTGATTATTTCAGCTTCCCAATTGTGAACTTTTCATTCCTATGTAGCAACATCCCAGCAGCACCTGCATACGGAGTATATATCTTCCAGTTGATGCAATATTCAAGGGCTTGTATTTCCTATCATTATTTTCTTGGTAGGGGGTTGCTGCTCACAAGGGAGATATTAAATAAAGAGTTCCAAGTGGTAAAGTTGAAATCGTACCTTCACGAGTTGGTTGACTGTTATGGAATATCCGTTTCACAGATGACAACGGATATGTTCCAATTGTCGTAACTCTAGTCCCGTCCTCTTTTCCCCGAATGTGGCCTATCGAATTATCACCGGGTTTGTACTATCACGATGTCACAGGTGGAGCAGGATCTGCTTACACTTTCGGAGCACTTGAGATCATCCCAAGATTTTGGTGGGGTTCATGTAGCTCAGTCTTTGGTTTTCTATGTTGTGTTTTGTGTACTGTTGCTTGTTTGACTTTTTCTTTAATGCCATGCCGTTGTGAGTTTATTTTCGACTTGTGAATTTGAATGTCCCTTTGGTATCCTTCCCCTCTCTTTCAATAGTTGTAAGCTTGATGCTTCTTATGAAGAATGAATTTACACTTTGAAATTGTTCGCTTCAAAAATAATTACAACGTATATATAGATTTAAGGAAAGGATTACATTTTTTAATTGTAAAAACATAAAACAGTAACGAATAATTATAAAATAAGGTCACCAACATTTACACCATGAATTTACAGTACTTTGCTTATAGTAGTATATATTAAAAACAAAACGTTCTTCCTAAAAAAAAAAGATAGCATTTTGACCTTATTAATTTTGTTTAGCAATTTAACAATTAATTATCTAATTCCCAACGTTGTAATTTGAAAGCAGTTTTATTCTAATGTCACGGAACATTTGTTTCATGTTCTTTTGATATTTGAAATACTTAATCAACTGTTTTTCAATATGCATAATGTTGTGCAAACAGGGTAGCATATCCATTTGCTTTAAGTAGAATCATAATCCTTTCGAAAATTCGTTATTTAATTGAAAAGAAATGTCAGTTGAATCGTTTATACAAGTTTCCTTTGTAAAATTTTTCGTGTTGTTGTATGATGTTATGTTTCTCACTAATGCTGTAAAAGGGAAATTATTCGAATGACTGAAGAAAAACTGACAACGACATGGCAAAAAACGGAAAAGATGAAAAGACAAATAAATCGTCAAAACACTACATAAAAAACTAATGATAAAAAGATTGAGAAACACGTACACCACCAAAAATTGGACTTGTACTCACATGACTCAGGAGCTCCAGATAGGTGACCATTATAAAATAAGATGGGATATGATTGCCAATGAGACAACTCTCCAAAAGTCCTGATCGACATGTGTCATCCGTCGTGTTGCTCATGCAAGTACAAATCAAGTGATAAGAACCCATTCGGTGATGTCAAAATCGAGGAAAAAATGATGGGATTAGGGTTGCGACAATTGTTACATATCCGTGGTCATCTGTCATCTGTCATGGCGTGCGTAAACCTCCCTTTAGTATCTTTCGCCTCTCTTTTTCGAAGGGATGACTTCAACTTCACAACTGGGAAACCTTTGTTTATTAGCTTCCTTGTAAGCACCAACACTATAGCAAATTAATCATGATAGGAAGTGCAAGCTCTACAATATCAAAGACTGGGAGATAATAACTCCATATGCAGGCGTTGCCGAAAAGTTGCTACATAGAAATAGAAACCTCACAATCGTGAAGCTGTAATCATCCCTTTCGTCGTACCACTTGTTCTAAACCGACTATATATATATATAGCTATCACTGTCAGTTTCTAGATGTAGAATAATAGTTTAAAAAGAGATCCCAAGATGGCAGAAAATCAGAGTTACCTATTTCAATCTGGGAAGTATTACATGTACAAATAAAGAAATTTTGAAGAAGCAAAAATACAAAGTTGCCCCTGAAGAAATTATCAGTTTTCACTGCCACTGCAAAGCTGTTTTCTTTGATAAAAAGTTTCAAAAATGTATCTTATGTTTCAAATCAAATCACTCTATATCCGTTCTACTTTCAATATTTTAAAGTATTTTACATAATGTTTAGTAAGCTAAATTTCTGTTTTGCAGAAGTACATTGGCTGCCACATCTGGGATTGACCATGGGAGTCAGGTTAAAAAATCACCACTGCGTGTTAGCGTAGCACAATACATTGCATTACGGTATGCACTTAGCATAACAAATTCCCACTTAATGGTAACATTCATGAGTTTTAATATCATAATTAATTTTCTATTTCTGTGCATCCTAATTTTCATTTGAATAAGAAAATTAAAAAATAAAATAAAAATAAAAGGACTCCTTTAATACAAGTTTTTTTTTCTAAACTGAATTTGTTTGAAATCATCAAATCGTATCGTATGAAAAAATATAAATTTTTGATGTCAGTAATTTAAATCAATTGAATGATATCTTTATTCATGCAGTAAAATAGAATGAACCCCGGAAAAACGTTGGTTCAAATAACGTTTTTGTATCATATACCAATAACTTTGAATTTTGGCGGCTACAGATGATTGTTTATGTTTCTCCTTACAGCAATATCACGAACAAGGACAATTACTGTGTCCAATGTCATGTATGACACCAGATATGGTAAACATTGTAAATCAGAATGCCAACGAGTTTATTTCCGGTTCATCTTTCTGAGTTGCATTGATTAGTTTGTGTTCTAATAGGGTCTTAAGTGTTTATACATATGTGAATTGTATTAACCGAACAAATTCGTATGACACATTTATAAGTTTATGTTACAATATGAGGCTTGTATATGGTTTGATAATTTAAATGATTATATAAAGTATGCTATGCAGTTGACATTATGAATTCAGGAAAATGTCAGTTTACAACAAGTGTGTATGTCTTATTCAAATAGTTTTGCATTGTAGTGTCTACATAAGGATTTTCATAGTGCTTTTTTGTAGCAGTCTGACTTTTGGACAATTTGAAGGAAACAAGTACATGAAAGCAGAAGTAATTAGCTTGATAAGTAACATTGGACCAACGATCTGTACCAATAAGTGTAAAAGTTTGTACGGGTGTAATGGTGTTTATTTTGATCAACAACTGACTTGTGAGTTATTACGAATTAACCCGACCACAGACGACACATCTGAAAAAGCTGGTTCCATGTTTGCTGCTATGTCTTCTTTGGAACCGGTAAGTAACAAAATTAAATATAGTTTTATGAAAATTGTTTTGAGAAAATGTATTATTTCAGTATCTATCATTTCAGAACACAAGTGCTCAAGTAAAATATAAAATGAAAGGAATACAAATGCAGGAATGTATCTGACCTTCCGGTAGTTGTGTTATAAAATTCAGATGAATTTAGACACTGATCCAATTTTTTCTCAATATTAACTCCTATAAATTACTAAAACTTTCATTGAATGTTATCAAGAAGCACTTTTAATGCAAGGGATGGCACGACTTATATATACATACGACAAGGTCATTGATCGATGTGTGTACAAGAAAAATTAACTTTAGTTATCACTATATTTTTCAGATAAATGCAGCTGCATGCTGGCCGAATCCTTGCTCTCAAAACAACAAATGTATTGTTTCCAGACAAAATAAAGCATTTTGTATAACTACAGTTGGTGAATGTGAGTAAATAACATAATTTGTTTGCATATTTCAAGTCGTTTCTGGTTGTCTTTTATAAAATTTGGATTTGTTTTTATCAAGTTTGGTTCATTTTCTATTGTTTTATGTGCATATGTCCTGCATATTCAGAGGAATTGAGTGTTTTTATTATCTCTGTTAAATATATTAATTAGTTCTAAGACTTAAGGGCATCCGATACAGTTTCAAGGGAGTTAACTCTTGGCGCGACGTTATGTGTTTGAATTCCCGCAAAACGTCACTTTTTGCGGGACGTAATGCGTGTAACTTTTCGTAATAAGAAACGTAATGTGGATTTTCGATGCTTCAATTTCTGTTTCTCCCGCATGCTAACTTCTAAACCATTAATATTAGTGCATTTGATTCTAACAGGATAACAGTCTAATAAAATCAGAAGAAATAAAACACATTACTGTTTCTGTGAGATCTTCAAAAAAGTATCGTGTAGTGAGCAATCTCAAGACGACTGACCCTTTTGGTGTTACTAATATAATGCATGTCAATTATCATTTTTATTATCATTCATCATCCATGATTTGGTCCGAATCCGATTTTCTGACATTTTATTACAGCACAGAAAACCAATGATATTTTAAAACTAATACCGAAAATTTAGGTACACGAAGAAGTAAATTTCCTAACTGAACAATTTACTAAAATAAATAATGGTATGCCGCTAATATTAACAATGATACAAATAATAAAAGAACAAAGTTCCTATTTCTTCCACGTTACACGTATTTTATCTAACAAAAGGCAATAGTCAACAATATTCTCAAAAACGATTTATGATTATTGCTTCAAACTTTATACACTTCTTAGTTATATTAATCTGAAGATCTGTATACTTTTTGGGGATGATTAAAAATTTTATTTTATAGTTATTGAGTTTATGAAAAAAGAGGGGGTTTTAACATGTCGCGCCGTACCTCAGAAACTATTTATAATTATTGCATAAAACTTCACATACTTGTTACATAAATTAATCTAAAGATCTGTATACATTTCGTGATGATTCTTTAATTCATTTTTGAGTTCTTGAATTTTTATTGAGCTTCAATTTGATATCATATAACACATGATGTGATATATAAACTTCCTACTGAGAAAGAATAAGGAATGAGTCAGGATATACTTAGCATGAATTCCTGTACAACCCCCGTGTTATTTTAAAAACATTTATTATGGGTTTTTTTCATAAGACGATGGGCGTATCATGCGCTCGTAGCGCAGCTGTTTATTTTGTTCTTTGTTTTTTTTTTACAAATATATTAGAGAAATGACGGATTGACATCAAATACAATGCAATTTCCAATATAATTAATATTTCCAAATGGCATAACTCTTTTAAAGAATAGTTGATATGCTCTGATTTTCGAACGTGTCCATACGATATTAGTTTTATAAAAATTTGGAAAGAATTGTACACTTGAAAAATCTATTAACCAGAAGGACATAAAGGACAGACAGAGGAATGGGCGTGTGATATTTTATGTACCCCGCAATGCGTCGCGCTGTGGTGAAAAAATATATATAGTTATTTACCAATAAAATTTGGATTTTAATCGCAACTTGCCACCCTCTCCAACTCTCTCCCCTCTTCCCCCTAAAAAAACAGCATTAAAAACTGAAGAGAAAGTATATAATAGTACAAGATTATAAAAGTGACCTGCAGAGGCGGATTTAGGGGGGGGGGGGGGGGGGGGGGAAGGCTCAGGCCCCCCTTTTGAGGAAAAATTTTGGTTGGTTATATAGAGAATTACTGAAGCGTGACGAGAGCGGGCCCCCTCTTATGCAGTCAGTGGGCCCCACTTATGAAAATTTCTGGATCCGCCACTGACTTGCTTTGCAATCGTAATTTAGGTGGGTATAGTGTGGAAAGTTGGGAGAGGAACAGAAACAAACCCAAAGCTGGGGGTGGGTGGGGGAATAGGTAATATGTCCAGTCCTTTCGCTATTAATTCAATCGTTTTGCCAAATCAAAAATTTCAAAATTATGGTTTAGTTTCTCTGTCTGGACAAAAGCATCCTTTAGCAAATTGCCGATAAGACAACTTTCCACAAGAGACAAACATGACACAGAAATTAACAACTATTGTTCATCGTACGGTCTTCAACAATGAGCAAAGCCCATACCGCATAGTCAGCTATAGAATGCCCCGAAATAACAATGTAAAACAATCCAGACAAGAAAACTAGCGGCCTAATTTATGTACAAAAAAGAAGTTCCGTTTGCAGGAAAAGACCTCATGTAAGTAACCTTTGTGCTGTGATCCAGTGGAAATAAGTATATCAAGTGAACTTTAAAACTGTTCAGAAGCCTATAAATTTTATTCAATTGCAATCATTGACCATAATTAAAGTTTACAGTACATGTACCTGTATGTCATGTTCTAAATTGCCGAGTCTTTAATTCTAAAAGCCGTAAAATTATTAACAGTCCGTAATAACTTTTCTTGCGATGTTTCTCACTTAGACCACAAACAGAGACAGGTATTTTATGATTCACATGATTTTATTTCCGAAAACAATTTGACCAATTTATAGGTAGCTATTTACAAGCAATATTTATACATCTAAAAAATGTCGCCGGTAACTTGCAGAGATAACGTCGAAGTTGTCTGCCAGCGACGTCGTGCATTATAGCGCTAACGTTGAGGTTCCAAAGGGGGGACTCAATTTTTAGGATAACTCGCGTTTATCATGGAATCCAGCACGGTGACATATATTTTTTTTTTGAGATTTGGAGAAAGCATGGCAAAATGCAGTTTATGTAGAAAAATGATAAAAATGACATTTTCAGAAACACTTTATTTCCCTATTTTTAGGTTAAAAAAATACCACTTTGAGCATCTGGTCCGCAATGTCAAGCAAGGCTTGCATAATTGTATAGTCATTCGTGTAGGGATTTATTTTTTTCCTTATTGTGTCTTATCACAGCTTCAAATTGAACCCGATCTTAATAATTTACGACGAAGAATATCTGCTCCAAAAATTTTATAACATTGCCTAACTTTTTTACAAAATTGCACAAATCCCCAATTTTCAGCCTCAATTTTCTCGAAAACAAGCATGGTGACCTATGTTTTATTTTGTGTTTTATTTAATAACTCGCCAAGGCCTACAACATATTTCAAAATTATAAAAATGACATTATATCGAGAAACTGTATCGGATGCCCTTAAGGAACTTCGAGCTGGACATGATTATGTCTTTTGATGGTTGTTGATTAAGATTTACCCAGCATCCCTTTTATTTATGCTGAATGACAATATTTACCGTACCAAAACATTAACCGTACCAAATATATGCGCATTCAGACAGTAAATGCAGGGATGCTCTAAGGCAAACAAACTGAAAGACAAAACCTAATACAAACGGCGAAGCTCTGATAAAAAAAAAAAAAAAAAAAAAAAAAAAAAAACGAAAACAGAAAGCCAAATCCGGACAAAGCTATTACTACTATCACTAAATGAACAAAATTATCAAGAGCAGTTTTAACATTTTTTTGAAGTCGACGAATCAAAATCAACAGTAACAGTTTGTCAGCATATATATATACCTCTAAAAAAATGAAAATAACATGTTGTAAATTAAATGCATCCGAAGCACTTTTCTTGATTTACCTTCATTTAAACGTTCCAAGCCGAATATTTTAAAGCCAAGGATGTATGAGAACCGGAACAGTTGAAGGGCTATATGACCAAAAGGACCTAAAAATAGTCAAATCTATCTAAAGTCAACTTTGCCTGAGCGGCTCGAAACCTTTTTTTTTTGATAGTATCAAAATTTATAAACGGACATCTTAGAAAGGCTTGTTTTAAATCATGTCAGTACCGAACTAATGACTACTACGCTGCCAATACCGTCGGGGACTGTTAGCAAAATTTCCAAATGACGTTTAGTTGTCTCCAATTTTGTATAGTACACTTGAAAAAGAGAAGAAACGTGAATTCTGTTGTGTTGAATAAAGCAACGCACCTTGTACAGCTTTCATTAAATAAAATGTAAATTTTAAGTGCCTTCGGAAATTATCATAAATCAATTGACAAATAACATCCCTTGTATCTTTAATTGAAGATATTTAGATAATTACAAATAAGCAGTCTGAGTGCTATGTTATTTACTGGATTTTTTTTCTAGAGAAAGGAATTTGCCTTTCAAAGATGTTGACATTCATGGGCGTTAAAAAAATAAAATTGAGTGTACTTGTATGGATGTTTGGGTGTACAGTGATATCAACTTTTTTGGGGGCCCTTTATAGCCTGCTGTTCGGTGTGACCCGAGGCTCTGTGATGAAGGCCGTACTTTGACTTATAATGGTTTACTTTTACAATTTGTGATTTGGATGGAGAGTTGTCACATTGGCACTCATACCACATCTTTTTATATCTATTGGCGTGTTTGAGGGGATCGGGCACGTTAATGAAGAATGACACGTTTTTGAGTGTTACAACCTTTGTACCAAATGTAAAGAACGGTAAAAAAAACGAAAACGTTTTACGATAAATCGCAGTTAAGATAGGCAATGTATGTAAACTACACAGTGTTGTGTAATGTAGCCATCTACGTCATTTTTTAGTTTGATTTATTAAGAAATTTTTCTATTTGATAAGATTTTGTAGAAATGTAGTGTAGTCAATTGTCAAAGGACATGAAGGAATTAAAAGGACTATTAAAAGAAAGTTTTTTGGTTTTTTTTATACTCCAGATATTATTGACTAGATATTATTTGTTTACGTTTTATCACAAAAAACAAATAATAATAAACATCTTATTGTCCGAAATATTCATATAATATTTGCCAATGGATATTGAAATCCTTCCTTTATTATCACTAAAATGTGTCTGTTGAATAAGGGCAATGCTTCAGGCTGTCATGAATGTATTTATAAATCCCTGATTAATAAATTTATTAAGCTATTTTTCAGTTTAAGAAGTCTCTAATAAATTGACCTTTTTTAAGTTGCCTTTGCTTCTGGTATTTTGGTATACTTTATTGATGCATTTCACACATTAAAATATGGAGACCCCTTCGTTGCATAGGATGAATAAGTGACCATATGTCTTTTACAAAAATGATCTGTATTGCGATTTTTATTATGATTTACAAAGTTATTATTTTACACTATATTTTTTTGTGTTAAATTACAGTACTTTTCATGAAAACCATAACGTCGACAAATTACCCTGGGGAGTATCCTAACTACGATGTGCAAAATAGAACGTAACTCCAGACTGGTTCTCAAATTTAAAGCCTTTGATCTGGAGACATGTAACGACATCCTGAAGGTAATTAAAGATAAAAATACTATAAATCATGTATCATATTCAAAATTTTGGTAAATCATTATGAATAAATTATCAGCAAGCAAACAAATAACTAAAAGACTTCGAAAAATCAATTTCTGCTGTTGTTTTCTTATTGCAATGCAAACTACGCAATTAAAACAAATAATCCATATCATATGTAAAAAAACGAAAAGAAATAATAATGGTGTCATGATGACTACTCTGACTTTTGAAAGAGTAGACAACAGAGAAACCATTTTACAAAACTGATGTCGACAGTATTATAAAGAAAAACAAAATCAATCAAAAAATTAATACACAATAAATAAACTGCATTAGTTGGTTATATTTTTTTTAACATAATGATACGTAAATTATAGAGATTTAGTGTGATTGCGAAATGAGACAACTATCCCCAAGAGTCGAAATGACTCAAATGTAAGCAACAAAAGTATAGGTCAATGTAGGAATTAAACAGTGAGCAAAACACAAACCATAGACTCAGCTATAAAACGATTCAAACAAAAATAATGAACTAAAAACAAATATGACACACAGTAACTAATGACAACCGCCGAATTACATGCTCATGATAGTGTTAACCATTCCTTGCTGATTCAAGATAAAAGAAAATTTCATACCGGTTTTATTTTTCTGATTTATGATAGACAAAATGGAACAGAGCTATACAGTTTGACTGGACACAATCTTCCAGATAATATATGGTCAAATGAAACTACTTTTTTCATCACCTTCAGCAGTGATTTATCGGTTACGTTTTCAGGTGGTGTCTCTATTGATGTATATAAAACAGCATGATTCACATCTAGAACCTTATCCTGATCATTTAAAGAAATAAATGTTCGCATTATACTCTTTGTATTTTAAAGATTACCTTGTGTAACGGAAATCTAACTTCACATGATCTATGTGTTACTGACATTTTTATTTTTCTTTAAGTTAATTATTGTTGTCACTGCTTAATTTTGGCGTTTTTGACATGATACATTTTCTCTATATGATGTAATATCCTATTGTGTCCGATTTACACCGCAACACACACATGCACCAGGAACGCCAAAAATCATAAAACCAATAGCGGGGTGCATAAATACCGAGTCACGTTAATAGTCATACGACCAAAGGAAACATATCAGCTTGAAGAACAAATAATCTTTTAAAATAAAGATACACAACTTCAGCACTCAGAAACAATAACCAAAGACCATCTTTCATTATATATGAAGTAGACACTGAATATTTGTCTATCAGGTCTTGGTACTATTGGATGAACTTTTGACAAACAAAAGTTTCCAATGAACAAAGATGACCTTAGATGGATTCGGATGTTATTGGTAGGTCCCTTTTGGTCATATAGCTCATATAGCTGTTTCAGTAGTCATGTACTATGCTTTTAGTGAAGGTTACTCAAAAACGCGCTTATGACGCATACAATTAACAAAGTTTTTATTTGTCTGTCGTTGACTTTTTTCCATTGTGTTGTCATTTTCTCTTTGACATGTGAGCTTTGTAAGTTCCCGTGGTCAGGTGGTATCATCTATCTTTTTATGTCCATTTTCCTAAATTAACCAGGTTGGGTATGGAAGGTGAAATTACCAAAAATACCAGCAAAGTCATTATAAGGGTATAGACAAATACAAATCTTTATCAAGTTACAAACTAGATAAAGCAGAATTGACATAATCGATGTTGAATAGTCGAAGCTTAGTAAGGCGTGTTTTGGCATCAAGAAAAAAACTGTTTTCAACCAATTTAAAAAAAATATTCTATTTCAAGATTTCAATATGCTATAAAACAAAGATAAAAAATCCGTATTTTTGTATTTTTGTTATATTGAATTTGAAAAAAAAAAGGAGTTCAGAGTAATATCTTCCTTTATTCATATAAGGCTGACTTCATACAGGAATTTCTTAGGAGAAAAAAAAGAAGTTATCAGTATCCTTTAACTTCACTTCCCGCTATATATATGTTGTTCAATAAATAATTTCAAAATGTGGTGACTATGTTGAACGCATCTATCCCATCGAACTGGAGATAATGGATACAACAGATACAGTTAAGTCCGCCTCATATCTTAACTTGCATCAATAAATTGACAATGATGATCGGTTGAAAACAAAAACTTTACGACAAAAGATATTATTTGAGCTTCCCAATTGTAAACGTTCCATTTCTATGTAGCAACATTCAAGCAGCACCTGCATATATTGAGTTTATATCTCCCAGTTTATACGATATGCCAGGGCTTGTGTTTCATCTCACGACTTCCTTGATAGAGGGTTGCTGCTCACAAGGAAGCTTTTAAACCAAGAGTTCTAAGTGGTGAAGTTGAAATCATCCCTTCATAAATTTTACGGACGCCATCTAGAGTTGGTTGACCGATATGGAATATCCGTTTCACAGATGATAGTGGATATGTTCTAAATGTCGTAACTACAATCCCGTCTCGTTTTTTCCAAATGTGACGTACTGATTTAGAGTTATACTGACATAAGAAACACTACAGGTGCCACATGTGGAGCAGGATCTGCTTACTGCAGCACCTGAGATCACCCCCAGTTTTGTTGGGGCTTTGTGTTGCTAAGTCTTTAGTTTGCCATCTTGTGTTTTGTGTACTATTGTTTCTCTGTTTGTATTTTTCTTTTTTAGGCATTGCTTTGTCAGTTTATTTTCGACTTATGAGTTTGAATTTCCCGTTGGCATTTTTCCCCCCTCTTCTAAAGGCATGTCAGTAAAACAAATCATAAGAATAGATTTGACCCAATCTTGTGTAAATATCAGTTTTCATTAAGATTACCTTCTGTACTACTGTAATCAGTGATCGTTAATTGGTAGTTAGTACTCTCATCCCCCCACATACTATGATTTGAAAAAAGTATATATTATGTTGATTGAAATCCAAGATGTTAATGTAAGCAAGCGCATACTGAACTAACAGTTTATGTTCACACTAAACAAAGGAGCTAATTGAACTTCATCATCGATGAAAAGAAAAAATACAATGGAATGTGACAAGTTTATTAAGTAGAAAAAATTATCTTTGATATTATTGTAGAAAACAATAACCTGAAACAAGGGATACATATTACTTAAATTCTTAATATAAATTCTACTCTAGATATATACATGTATATATATATTAGCTGCATCGGATAGAAATTGACCTAAGTCAAGTGCACATATAGATGTTCATTTGTAAGACTTTGATTAATTTTGGACATTCAAAAAAATGAATGTTGGTTCGTTTTGAATGGTTCTTATAACACCTTATTTTTTAAACAGTTACATACTTTCCGTATGTTTTTAATTTCTTGGCCTTATCATCATGCTTGTCTTTGTTATCCCGTCTATGCGCCACGATTTCCATTGAATGTTGGCTTTAGGATCTGATCCGAACACACCGTTGATATTGGCATGAGTACATCTTGCATGCCACCAACCACTCTTCTTGAAGATAGAACAATGTATAGATCGATTTATGTCGTTTTCCCTGTCACGAGTAGAAAACATCATACCATTCGAGGGAATGTTATTACCATCGATCATTGAATCACCTGTAAATGTAAATGTAAGATATGTAAATTAAGGCAACAGTAATTTACCGATGTTAAAATATGTCAGGACACAACAGCGCAATACTTTGGTTGGATAATTTTTAAACATATATCTGCGTAATCAAAAACACTTATCGAAAAAAGATATTCTCTTAACATCAGACATGACTTATTTCACGTTAACATAACATTCAAATCATTATAGCAATGACAATGTCATTATCTTCGCAAACGGCCATGTTCGATTCAGTTACATGTAATTATTTCTCAATGTTTTTAGGAAACGATTGTTTATATTCATTTTACTGTCATGTAGATTCTGGTCAAAATATGAAAACTAATGGACGAAGCATATACAAGAGCAATGATAATGCTCGAATCGTTCCTTAATGACTGGTAAATACACGAATAGTTTGATATCAGAATATAATACAATCATAGATCATCCTAGCAACAGTAAAGACCACAAAATAATACCCAGCCCAATGAAGAGTCTATGATTGATTTGCAAAGGAAGCAAATGACACCAAAATTTGTTTATATATAGAAGAGGAACACAATAGTATTATATTGTGAATATTCGTAAGAATGTTTCAATAAATTTAGAAAATATGTGAAGATTGTAAATGAACATAAATGTGACATGGCTAAAAGTTAAAATTCTTTAATAACAAAAACCAATTGTACACTAAACGATTTCAACATAATTATACACGTAAACGCACGCGACGTTTTGCGCGGTGAATATACTTTTGTCCACAGGTGAATATGCTTATTCATTCAAAATTTAATACATATAGGAAAACCTAAAGTTCTATCAATATGGAATAATATTCGTATATTACTTGCATTAAAAAGCCTGCTAAAAACATAATTGTTGCCAGATTACCCAATAGCAATTAACAGTAATGTTGCTATTAATTCTACAATATTATTTCATGATTTGAAATTAGTTTTATTGGAGAAGCTTGAAGATAAAGTTCAGTGAATTTTAAAGTTGTTTTTATCAGAATGGTTGACGAGTCAATTTGAATCAATACCAATTTCGTTCTGTTAATCTTCAATAACATTGCGGAAAACTTCTTTCCGGTTGTCGTTCTTTTTTGGATTTTTCGTGAGTTATCGTAAATATTTTCGCAAATTTGTATCTGTGGATTACGCAGTCATGCTGAATTATTTCATTTTTACTCTTTCGTTTGTTTCACAAAATATATATCAAGTTCGTTGCTTTCTGACAAATAATCGCTGTATAGTTTGTTGACAAGTCGGTCACAAATGTATTATTGTAACTCTTTATCTGTAAACTTTAACGAAAGGTACATGTAAACCATCAAATTATCAGTCATCCACAACCATAATTAAAATGTTTTATCCAAAGCACATCTGACAGCATTTTTTTTAAAAGAAAATTGGAAATTC